AGTTGTTTCATTATTTTCTATTATTCTGTCGGAACACACGTGGAACACAAATGAAATATACATATATATATATAATTATTATTATTGTTATTATTATTATTATCATTATCATTATTATTATTATTATTATTATTATTATTATTATTACAAATTGATTTCCATTCTACAAATATCAATACATTAAAATTCGTTCATGAAAATTATAGTGTTAATGAGTTAATGACTGTGATGCTTGAAGCAATCTTTAATACATACACAGGTTTTTATTTTGTTTTGGGCTGTTTATAGGCCTATTGTGTTCTGGAACTGGTCACCAACTTTGAGTTTGCATCAGTGGTGTATTTCACCTCAGGGGGGGCGGGGGAGGGGGCCAGGACCCCCGTCGGTGAGAGCTCACCCCCCCCCCCCGTCGGGGAGAAAAAGCACATTCGTCGGGGATAAAAAAAAATCTACCATAAACTCGATTAAATAAGCCTTTGAAACCCCTAAATTGTCAAAATTATTATATTTCTAGACCCCTAGATGCGCCATTTCTGCATCTCATTCCAATCTTGTGGGTTCAAATACGAACCCACCTAAATTATAAAAAAAAGGGTTAGGCTATATAATATTATGTAATGGTGAGTCATTGTATACCGTACCGGTAATTAATAGATAGTTTTGTACAAGAATAGACATAGCTTTATAATGGTAGATAATTCAGTTTTACTCGTTTTAATGATTTAATTGTTTTTAATTTGCTTTGTAGAGTTCATTCTGAACAGCTCCCTCCAGCGATTATAGTCAGCAACACATTTTGTTTATGTTTACTATTATTTGCTGCCACTATCGTCACCATTTTATGGAATCCGAATTACGGAACGAAAAACCAAACGGAAGATTGCATAGAATTGATGGAATCGTCACATCCATTGAACGCATAGTCTGTGACTGCTCTAATGGAGGTGGGGAAGAAGGCGTATCCTCCGTCGAACAGTTAAGCAACCCCCCCCCCCCACTCCCCGTCAGGTAAATCCTGGTGCCGCCACTGTACAACATGTATCCTGACCTCTAAACATTATGCCATCTTCATACATATTTTATATTCAATATAGGCCTAATTGGACTGATGAATTTCAAGTCGCTTAAATTTTGTTTGTTTGGATTTTGTATTCATGTTGCCATGGCATTCTGTTTTTTAAATTAGCGAAATAATGATAAAAGGATCGTTGCTATACTGTACCGATTACACGGAAGGTGAATATGAGCGATTTACAGTACGTAATTTTAATTTAAAAAATTTAAAATGCTGCGTAAGAAAGTTTAGAAATTATATTGCATACCGGTATGCATTGTGGCGTGCCATGGCATATCGGAACGGTGCCTTGTTTGTTGCGTTCCTCCAGTGTTTAATGAGCTACCGTATGTTTACTCGTGCCTATTTATTGCTTAACTAATAGTTGACTGCTCCTTGAGATACATTTGTCTTCTTTTATTTATTGTATACGGGCTACATCATGATTTAATAAATACATAAACAATTTATAATCTTTTGTAAGATGACGTGCCTTTCTCTAAATGCGTTAATCCTGCATTAAAAGATGCCATAGCTAAACTACAAGGATAACAAAACAGCCGGAGCAAACACGAGAATATAACAAGATGTAAAGTATATTAAATGTATAAATAATAAGTAAACAAAATGCGGGTATTCTAAAATACAAATAAAGACATTAATTTTTTTAAACACGCAAATGGCCTTGTTTTTTAATTGTACATCAACATATGCCTAAAGGATGACAGCTGGATTGAAGGGAGATAAAATATAATTCAGGAATGGAAGCGTGCAGTGAAGGCCAGTGATTATGGGTCAAATAAAAGGAGAAAAGCCTTTATTATAAGGAGGCTTGTGTTTGTGACTGGGTTATTTTGGACAGTCTCCAAGCCGCAAAGCAACCAATCAGAGCGTGGTGCTTACAGAACGTATCACTCACTTGATATTAATATCAAACATCAAACAAAGAGTGTACAGTACTCTCATACGTATTTTATTAGGTCAGGCCACCAACATGACATCAACAACCACTGGGTTTTGGGTGTTGGTTACCCTTGCTGAAGTCTCGGGTTTAGCGGCTTTGATTCTGGTAGGTGTTCTCGGAGGGAAGCATGTGAAAGACCCTGGATATGGGTGGGATGGCAGCCTACATACGTTTAACTACCATCCGATGTTAATGTCATTGGGATTCATTTTTTTGTATGGAAATGGTAAGACTTGTTGTATTTTGTATCATATAGCATGCTTTTAATATTCAACACCCGGCCGGAGTCGGGCCAACAAAACAATCAGGTTACAGTGTCGCAATAACATGCTTGCAGAGTTTTAGCAAGGAGTTGTTGTTTTAGTTAGGCCTACTGTATTTATGCATTTGCCATGCACATTGTCAGTTCAGTCAGGATCTGGGTTCAATTCCCGCCATTGCCAAGAAAGTTTCTCATTAATTAGCCTCATTAAAAAAAAACAAAAAAACATAGGCCTAAATCATACTGTGGGTGAAAATTAGCTAAAAAAATATAACCTTAATCCTAACCATCTATGCAATATAGGCCTACCATTTAATTTTGCAATATTATTAATAATGCAATTTGCGCCGACCACTTCACTGTTACGCAACATAATTGTTTATTCAATGACAGCAAAACTTAAGTGGGTATATTTTAAATCACAGAACGTGCATAAATCATTAGCGCACGTTTATGGCAGACAACGTGGTAGGATATTATCCAGTTAACCCCTTAAGGTATATTGCCTGCCAAATAATTCGGGGGAGAGGGGAAGCCGTGTTCTTACAATAGCCTACAAAAGGCATGTTATAATTTCATAAGTGTTGCATAAAAATGTAGGCTTACATAACAACAACAATATATTGTCATATTCATCATTATCATTACTGTGTACCGTATTTCAATATCAGCATTATTATTACTCACAAAAAGGCCGCCTTCCACGGCCTTTCGCGAGGCTGTGACATGGGGTGGGTCCAGATATTTGCAGGAGTGGGTACAGAAAGAAGGGGACTTAGATAGAAGGGGACTCCTGTATAAATAACGTAAGATTAAATTAATTGAGGAACCGTCACCCTCCATCTTTCGAGAGATTTATGGCAACAATAATATTAACCTTAACATTGTTCTCATAGCCTAAATGACCCCCACCCCCACCCCTAAAGAAAATAAGCTACTTGCTATCTTTTACTTAACATCTGTACATTTTTGTACCAGCTAAAATTTAAAAGCACTCTTAACATGTTAAGAGTGGTGGAGGAGGGGAACGACCAGCCCCCCCCCCCCCTACCATGAATCCATACAGTTATATCATTTAATCATTCTGTGAAGCCCAGTCGACCAAATGCTGCAATTGATAATTGTAACAGAATATTCTAACTTATAGCATTGAATATTCATACGTCTTTAACTATATAATTTTAGAAACACCTTTCCAAATTGAAGTCAAATTACTTTTTAAATAAAGAAGAACATGAGCCAATAATAATTTTGTTTATAATGTTAAAGCAATGTAAGATAGGCATACTGGTTTAGAATAGAGTTTTAAAAAATGGATTATAGAATACATGCTAAAATTTAAAGATTGTGCTACGATATAGTTCTTCCAGAACTGTGCACGCTTATGGACGGTAAATCGTCACAAACATTTTGTCCTTACTCAAATTAATAATAATATATGATTTTTTTTATTAGCTAATTCGAAACGATCAAGTAAGGTATTATTACCTTAAAAAAATTTTTAAAAAAATATTTTTCACTGATTACAGACATTTTACTACAAAAATCAAATGGTGTGAATTTTTAAGACAAAACAGGAAATGCTTTTTTAGCTCATGACAGGCAGTAATCTTTACACCGAAAGTCTGTATTTCAATGCATCCTACAGCGTACGATCATCAGCATAATTATACTAATAGGCCAGGCATCTATTTGCCACATCATTCTCAAAATTGTCACAATTTAATTCTCGGTGACAAAAAGCTTTGAATCGATAAGGACTCCAAGGTCCTTGTGCAATGTGTTATTTAATTGGTTTCTAGTCAAAACTGCAATAAACCAAAAGGAAATGACAGCAACCAAAGCTACAATACCACTGTACACAAAAGATCATAAACCAACTCTAAGAGTAGACAGGTCTGTACAAAACGATGGTTTTTGTCAATTATGCTCCAGAAATTTAAAAGAAACAACCGACCATTTTTTATAGGCGGGTTGAAGGGGGCCGCCTAGCCGGCCGAGCCCCCCCCCCCCCACTAAAGTTTTCAAAATAAAAAAAATTAGAAAAAAAGAAAATTATATTCAAATTTAAATCTAAGAATGCTATTTCCGGCCATCTAGAGGTGCCATAATCAAAATGTTTCCCCGCCCCGCCCCGTTTCAAAATATTTTGGGCTGAGGCAGGTTATGACTGCTTTGCTAACTGTAGAAATAGAAAGTTTAAACTTGTCAAATAACTCGGTGCTGCAATGGGAATCATTCATTCTTTCGTGTATTTGGTGAAAATCAACACACAAATCACGAAAACTTCAAAAAATTGCAATAAATAGTTTAAAAATTATCTTTAAAAAATTATTAAATATTTTAAAAAATTATATATACACTGTAAACTTTGGAGTAAAAAAAAATAAAAACAATTAATACTGTAATAATAATGTGCCTAAATACGTTTTATTTGTTTGTTTTCTCTCTCTCAGCCTGACCTGGAAGGGTTGCATCTGCACCTGCAAGTCTGTGTAACTATCTAGACTCTAATTTAAGACTTCGTAAAAGATGATAAATTTCAAATTATGGCCGATCTACGGTATATAATACAGGTCTTGTTGATATAGGCATATTTACGGAATGTTCACATATCTTGCAAACCGTTTGAGTGTAAAATAGGTCTATATATAAGCATGGTTATTTATCTAAGCCTAACTGTCCAGGAGAATGAGCAATCGACGCTTCATACTAGATATTTATCTCGTACGTTCGAGATATTAAGTCGTACGAGATAGTGTCTCATTGTGTTCATTTCATTTATTTCGTCGCTTTCTATAAAATACAATATATTAAAAAAAACTAAACACAAAGATAGACAATTAACAATGTTTTCAGGGGATTGCCAATGGCAAAAATTAATCACTTTCCATATGGTTCCCCAACCCCACCAACAAAATAAAATACAATAAATATGAGTTCATAACCACAAGTCGTAGGCCTACGTACGTATTTATAAGTGATACGTACTATATATCTCGTATGTACGACTTAATTACTTTATCTCTTATGTACGAAATATGGCTCAAAAATATTGGCAGCTTCAGTACCTACTGATGCATATTTAATATTTTTTAAATAGGAGCGATAGCATTCCGAGTGATTGCGACTACCGGCATTAATCTTGCACGAACTACACAGAAACTTATACATTTCATCTTCCAAGCATCGGCGCTGATTGTAGCGATTGTAGCACTGGTTGCCGTGTTCAAGTACTACGATAAACAAGGCTACCAAGACATGTTCAGTCCCCATAGCTGGATTGCCATTATTGCCACGGGGCTGTTTACTGTACAGGTAAGTAAAGAGAACATTAAGCTAATAAAGCTTGATTTAAATCGGTACACTGTTTTTACTGCAGTTATTTGACTGCGTATGTGTCTTCGATTCGACAGGCCAATCACCATCGTCAAAGGCTGTTGGCCTTAGCATGTAGCTATTTTATGGAAACTCTATTATGCATGAGACATTTATTGGGCGAATGATCGGGTGTGAGAGTGATTGTGTGTTCAATACTTAGCCGACTACGCATTATCGAGAATAAAAATTGATTTAATTGACAGTCTTCTCAA